GGTGGCTGACTAAATACTTTTTTGCCCCACTGTATATTAATACTAAACTCCTTAAAGATAATGTGTACCAAAAGTCTTTGTCATATCTTTATGTTAACATACTTTACTGACCTTTTGTTTTTGGAGCTTTGATGCAGCCGTCATCATCTCATGGTGCAAACAGGAAGTAAATTGCCCTGGTTATGTGACAATTTGCACTAACCATGTGACATTGCACATATTTAACTGAGACCCTTTATTTTTTCCATATTTGCAGGAAATGCACTAAAACACCAGTCAGTAAAATTTTTAGAGCTTTATAAATGAAAACCTAATTTATGATCATTGTTGTGACTGATGGGATTAAATGTGATCTGGTGTAAAACAGAATTAGACCGTAAGATATCTTGAGCTTTGTTTCTTGACAAGGCACATTCACTAATGTTTTTTACACAGGGTGGTTCTCATTGTGTGTGTGTGTGTGTGTGTGTTACTGTTGCACCAAGATTCATTGGCATAATTGTATTTCAGATTAAGTGTACCTGAGAGCACGCCGTTCACGGCCGTTTTGAAATTTGCAGCGGAAGAGGTGAGTTGATTCATCTTCTGTTTTTAATGAGTGTTCACAGTCTTATTGCAACCTCTTTTGAAAATGTATTTTTGAGAGATCTGCTGAAATGTAGGACTATGCATTTGCAATAGTCAAATTCTCTACAGTGGTTGGAGTATTACTGACTCTCGGTCAGATTTGCTTATTTCTATGCAATCATTGATTAAACTGACATGGATCATAGCAAAGATCATGACGTGAACTTTACAGGGTTTCCGCAGGTCTTAAAAAAGTCTTAAAGTCTTAAATTTAGTTGTATCAAATTTAAGGCCTTAAAAAGTCTTAAATTGTACAAGAAAGTCTTAATTATGATTTCAAGAGGTCTTAAATTTGGGGACGGAAAGACCAGAATTGTGATATGGCTGATTGTGACGATTAAACTTCAAAAGACTATGATTTCATGATATAAACATAAGTGCTGCAGGTTCAAAGTTTGGTGCTGCGCTGCTTTGTGTACAGCAGTTACCGGGGAAACAGTTATATTTCTACCAAACGCTCCACCTGCTGTCAGAGAATGGATGAACATTTTCAATAAAACTGTTGTTTTGTTCAGAGTTCAGGCAAATGCAAAAATCGACCCATGTTTTTATCCTGCAAACACGCAAAGCTTTAAATGTTAACTGGTGGATCGATAAGAAGACAATGCATTATAAAAATCTAATAGGGGTGTGCGAAATGCATGGTCTGCGATAATATCGAGTATATCGCGAAAAGCAAACAAAACACCTTCAGAGTGCGCGATGAAGTCTAACAGGTTAGACTAGTGCGCATGCGCATTTATTGAGCGTTCTTTCACTGCACTGCAGTCTATTAAAATGCATTTAGAATTATATAATTCAAGATATGAAGACAATGCATTATAAAAATCTAATAGGGGTGTGCGAAATGCATGGTCTGCGATAATATCGAGTATATCGCGAAAAGCAAACAAAACACCTTCAGAGTGCGCGATGAAGTCTAACAGGTTAGACTAGTGCGCATGCGCATTTATTGAGCGTTCTTTCACTGCACTGCAGTCTATTAAAATGCATTTAGAATGATATAATTCAAGATATGGGGAAGAAAATGTATATATTTATATCATTTCATATAGTTAATATCACACGAAGAGTGCCTTTTTTTCTCAAAGTCAGCATGATTACAAATGTGATATTGATTCTATACAACAGTTCAATAAACAATAATTTAATAACCTCGTAGCTTTAAATGTTAACTGGTGGATCGATAAGAAGACAATGCATTATAAAAATCTAATAGGGGTGTGCGAAATGCATGGTCTGCGATAATATCGAGTATATCGCGAAAAGCAAACAAAACACCTTCAGAGTGCGCGATGAAGTCTAACAGGTTAGACTAGTGCGCATGCGCATTTATTGAGCGTTCTTTCACTGCACTGCAGTCTATTAAAATGCATTTAGAATTATATAATTCAAGATATGGGGAAGAAAATGTATATATTTATATCATTTCATATAGTTAATATCACACGAAGAGTGCCTTTTTTTCTCAAAGTGAGCATGATTACAAATGTGATATTGATTCTATACAACAGTTCAATAAACAATAATTTAATAACCTCGTTCATATGGTATTAATTTTATTTGTGCAGGTCTTTAAAAAGGTCTTAAATTTGAGCTTAAAAATCATGCAGAAACCCTGCTTTAGCTCAATTATATCCTATAGCAATAGTAGTGTGTCTTTTTTGAGTCTCTCTGAGCTCTTTTGAAACGCATTCAGACTTATCTCTGTCTGCAGCCTCTTGTGTTAAAATCAGAACAGGATCAATGCAGAATCAGATGATTGAAACTAGAGCAAGCAAGGCCTAATATTATCAAGCTGATATCATAATGAAAAAACACAAAAAATGGCTGATATCGATATTTTCAATGATATGATTTCCCTCGTGATTAGCCATAAATCTTTTGAAATTAGGGTCAAATTTGACAGAACCCTCTTGATTTCCTGTGGGCTGTCTTTGTCTGTTTCACGGCTGTATTCAAGGCACGCAACCATACGGCATGACAGGATAATGTTGCAGATTAGCTTGGGTCGTTGCTCCTTTTTGGCATAATGAAATGCCAAATCTGACAACCTCATAATAGGAAGATATAATGCATCAAGTGGAAGCCAGAAAGAATGATAAAGTGCCTTTTAAAAAATGCACTGGCTTATTTTCAGCTTTTTCCCACTTTCTCAAAAATAATTTTTGTATTCCCACTTATGTGATCTTTCATGGTTTTTGTTGTCTCTTTTTCTCCTGACAAAACAGACTGACAAAAAATAGGCAAAGGAGAATTAGAAACTGAATAAACTCCTACAAAAAACTGTAATCCATGAATTATATATGTATTTTAGAAACAGAAACGGTTACACGCTTGATTTTGCTAATTCTAGTCACTAATTCTGGTGCTAGCCTGGCTTCTTGCTCCCCTAAAATTAGTTTTATGCTGTTCAAGGGTGTAGAAATGCCTTCAGGTCACCCGGCGAGTTTTTCAAAGCCCCTTCAGAACGAATTTGCTTGTTTTTTTCCTTTCAGTGGCTCTTTGTGACAGTGACAGTTTTCTTCTAAGCTCAGCCCAGAGAGCTCTTTCTTCACACGTTTGAAGGCTGCTGTTCACTAGGACAGACTCTTTAAATCACCTGACGCAAACACAGACTCGAGTTGATTTTTTCTTATCCTTGCCTGACAGAGAGACTGTGTTGGGCTGTTTATGGGACGTATTTGGCTGTCCGTATTAGTTTTTGATGGATTGAACAATAAAACATGTTTTCTTTTTCCTTTTAAAGTTTAAAGTGCCAGCAGCCACCAGTGCCATAATTACAAATGGTAAGTTGTTGAAATTAATATTATTATTATTATTATTATGCTCATATTTGATCAAATCCTTAAACCAGTAGTTCTCACCTTTTTTTGACTAATTAAACTAAAATAATCAGGTTTTCCCAGACCTTGGACACTTTTATTCAAAGAAGGGGAAAAAAATGGTTAAAAATGAGAAATATCTTGATTTTTAGTTTTATTCTATTTTAATGTTTTTTTCTGTCTTATTTTAAATAAATTTGAGTGATCTTGGGGCCCCCTTGGAAGTTTGCTGATGCCCCCTAGTGGGCTCCAGCCACCTTGTTGACCAGTTAAACATTAAACAAACCAGTTCTTTAAACCAAAGTATTTAACTTCACTGTTACTTTTCAAAGCAGCCAGACTTACAAAAAACACCCAACAACCACCAAACCTTAGCAACCACAGAGTAGCATCCTGGCAGATGCTCACATCACCTTAGCATCTTCATTGGGTTGGGTTCTTTGTCAGCTGCACTAAAAAATAACAACGACAGTTGCTCAAATTACGAACAACTGACTCTTTAGGAACTGTTTGTTTTTTGTGAATCAGACAAAACGTCTGCTGATTCCTTCACTTAATGAATTCACACAAAATGAACTGATTTGTGTAATTACATAGTTATAGAGGGAGACTACAGGGGCTATGCTGCGAGTGAATGTACAGCGCTCTCTCCCACCTTCAATACCACGACTGAGGTGCCCTTGAGCAAGGCACACCATGCACACCGTGTGTGTGTGTTCACTGCTGTGTGTGTGCACTTTGGATGGGTAAATGCAGAGCACTAATTCTGAGTATGGGTCACCATACTTGGCCACATGTCACGTCACTTTAAATCCAGCTGGTGTTCCCCATGAGGGACTTTTATCCCCTCTACTTTTTGTCATCAGTATAAACAGCTTGAATTTACATCTGCCCCCTTTTATAATTCCTTGAAAAAATGCAGATTATCTAACAATCACTGATCTTCTAATGGGATCCTTACTTGGCCTAACTCAAAACGCCTTGGACTCAGTGGCAGAGTGGGGACAGGAATTCTCACTGGCAATGAGTGGAGCTAAGACCATGTATATGGTAATTAGTGCTAGGAGAGATGATCACTTCCCCTCTCCTCCTCTTCCAGTAATTTCGGGACAAGTAATCAGCAGAGTCTCCACTTTTTAAACTTCTTCAAATAACATCTGATTTGTCATGGGATGCACACATCAAGTATATGATTTCAAAGTCACGGCCAAGAATTCATTATCTTAGTGCTGCAAAGAGAGCGGGTCTCCCATGCAATGTTTTAATGCAAATATACTTGACTTTCATATGGCCAATTCTTGAGTGCAAGCCCAGTGTGGGGTTGGACTGCCTAAAGGTCTCTCTTATGAGTTAGAGAGGGTACAAAAACATTGTTGTCAGATAATAGGTATTCCAACTTCTCTTCCTTCATTAAGCAAAAAGCGTTATGAGGCGTTATCTTCACTAACATACTTAAGGAACGATTAATCGCCTTTGCACAGCTTCTTGACTGTAGCTCCAGCATCTAATTATTCACTTCGTCAAAGTAGGGAACATGTTACGCCCAAAAGCAAAACAAAAACCATGAACTTTCCAGTGCTTTTAAATTGTTTTATAAATGACCTATTTGTGTGTTAATTTTGACGCATTTCAGGTTGTGCTGCTAAGAGAAAAAGTAACTGTTCTTTTTTTTTGTGCTGCATTAACCTGCTTTGTCATTTAAAAAAAAAATAAAAAAAACTGTTTGTAATATCTCTCTCTGATTCTACAGGAAATGTGTTCCTGAAACACGGCTCGGAGCTACGAATCATTCCCAGAGATCGGGTTGGAGGATGTCACCAGGGCAGGATGTGACTATCCAGTACTTTTCTGTCACAGACGATGAACATGCTTATGCATTGTCCGGCCCTGAGGTGTCAACTCTCAGCTGCTCTATCTGGGACAGCTGCGGCTCCAAATCTGTCAGAGGACCTCACAAATCTCACCGAGCTGCCATCACAGCCCCCTTCTCAAAGATACACACTTGCAGGATGTTGTCGTCGATTTGTTGTGCCCCAAACCACTAGATCTTTTGATCTTTCACAAAATATTCCAGCTCTGTTTAAGATCACATACATACTGTGTTCATTATGCATGCTTTTACATGTCTTAAATACATAATGTCTACTTCAAGTCCAAGTTAAATGTTTAAATAATGTAAAAAAAATATGATTCCATTTTCCATTTTAAGAAGGCAAATGAGTCATCATATTGTGTCTTTTTTTCTTTACATTTCATGTGTTATGTTTCATTAATGGTTGGTTTGAGCTCTGTTATGTAGCTGTTATTGCAGGCAGATAATGACTGTCAATGTGATGAAACTCCTGCAGCTGTGTAGCTAAACAAAACTATACAACAGTATGATTAAAGAAGCTCTAAATAAGTTAATAAAAACACATTTCATAATATGCTTACTATGTAAAAAAATATAAAAAATACAAAACTCTTCCCATAGTTGAAAATAAATTATATAAAATGTTACATAAACCAATTTGACACATAAAAGTTGCTTTTTGTAACGTTCCTGCTCACTCAAGTCGGCGTCTTTTCATTAAACTTCAAATAATGGCTCGACTTGAATAGTACATCAGGCTAATGAATGACAGGCTTTACCTTTGCTTTTACACCCTCCACTTAGCCTCCTCCTCTTACATTACTGCCAGGCAGAAATGGAGGAGGAGAAGGAGGGTCTGACTATTCAGTGTCATAATGGATCTTTCATTTGTTTTAATTAAAAGAGCAGGCATGCTGTGCCCTTTCCATGCCACTCATTACTGGGAGAAGTGCATTATAAATACAGCAAGGCCTACATTACTCAAATGCAGACATGTTACTCTGGATCACATCTGAAAAGACATTGCTCGCCTCCAGCCTCATTTGGCAAGAAAGGATGCAGTTTGTTCATTAGCCGTGGAAGAAATTGAGCTTTTACAGAAGTGAAAGAGCTTGCCAGTGTGACACGTTAAATTTAGAAGTAAAAAAAGTTACAAATACAAATACACTTGTAGTATTCTTGTCATAAACATTAAACAAAGCATTAAATACCAAACTGTATAGCCACTCATTACTGGGAGAAGTGCATTATAAATACAGCAAGGCCTATATTACTCAAATGCAGACATGTTACTCTGGATCACATCTGAAAAGACATTGCTCGCCTCCAGCCTCATTTGGCAAGAAAGGATGCAGTTTGTTCATTAGCCGTGGAAGAAATTGAGCTTTTACAGAAGTGAAAGAGCTTGCCAGTGTGCCTGTTTTTGTTGAATATTGTAATTGAGATTCTTGTAATTCTGCTGCTTAGGATGTTTCGTCTTTTCAATTTGTTCACTTAATGTATGTATACATAAACCATGTTCCAAAGCTTTGAGTGGATAAGACAGGCTTCATAAGTCTCCTTTATGGTTTAAAGAGGTACAAAGACAAGCAGTGATGTTGCTATTTGCATAAATTCAATCATGTGCCATCTGTAAGAAGCCTTCTTAAGCAAGCAAATGACAGAACTGTTTAATATTTATGTTAGATATTTTATATATGTGTCGTGGACGTGATTGTGTGATTTGAGGGGTTTAAACAACATTACCTGACAACCTTTCTATCTGAGCTTGAAGTCTTGTGATGGAGCAGATATAAGCCAGCTAAGCCAATGAAACAGCTGCACAATCCCGGGGTCTTGTGTTTGTATAACCAGTTTATGTGCCTGCAAAAACGTGTACATGTTTTTCCTCATATTTCTGTAGAAACTCTTAATCGAACATTTCTATGAGGCTTGTAAGAGATTGAACACTCACACAAAGGCCAGCACTCTGAATTGCTGTTGTCAAATAAGTCATTTTTCCACCCACCTCCTCAGTGGCTAAATGTTGTCCACATGTCCACAGATAAGCTGTCGCTGCCTGTCAGTTTTGCTTCTCACTCAATGTATCTTTCAGATGAAAAGATATGTGGCATGAATTTAGATTTAGCTTGTGCGTTCAAGCAGTAGATTCGTTTTCTGGAGTTCACAGAAGTAATTAATTTGCTATATTTTTGAAAGCAAAGGAAATACTTGCAGCAAATAGGTTTGGCCTTTGAAAGAATGGTTTTATGATGTTCAGTTTTTCAGTCACAAAAATTTATTATCTGTGTCCTTTGTAATAACAAGGATCAGGGAATATCAAAGAAATGTCTTTTTTTGTCACTGCATCGTAATTTTTTGACTTTACAAGACTGTAACATCATAATTGCCAAAACATGCTTTCTGCATAAACAATAAACTGGAGGTACACTAAAGCCACAACAACAATCAAATCAAAGCAAAGCCAAAAACAAAACAAAACAAAAATGGAAGCAAAGTAAAGCCAGAAACAAAATAAAAAGCAAAGCAAAGCCAAAAAAAGTCTAAAATAAATCAAAAATCAAAGCAGAGTAATGCCAAAAACAAACTAAACAAAACAAGAATCAAAGTAAAGCAAAAAATAAAATAATACCAAAAAATAAATAAATAATCCATAAACAAAAAAGACAAAACAAACTACTAAATCGTCTAATTTTGGTTTATTTTACATGCTTGTATTGAAAGTAAAAGCTTGATTCAGTTATATATTGTTTGTTTGGTTTTGTTTGATTATTATATTTCAAATACTCCTTATTTAGCTTTGTACTGTAGCACGGTCTGCCTTCACACATGCTACAACTACATTTTCTCTTAAGGCTAGATAATACCTAACATTTATCTTGGAATTCTCTTCTTACAATGTGTTCAATCTTCTTTTTCTCAACCCACTTGGCATATTGCAGCATATTATTTGAGAGGTCATCCTTAGAGATCTGCACCTCTCTTGCACCTCTCTTAATTTTTTGTTTCGTATTCTAGATGTGTCTTGTCCTGCTTTACATTCTGTTAGATGAAATGTCATGCCAGCACAAGGCTGCGCCTTCTTAAAGCTTGGCTTCAGTTTCATTTTACGCTTGATGTGACACTGACAGGAATGACTGAACAGAACGTTAGCAGCAGCACATGGAAAAATGCAATTCCAACATGCCAAGAAATGTTGATTCAATGTAATATGTTGTGAAAATGTGTTTTTGGCTATTACATATTATTAGCTATAAAAAGGCATCTTGTCAGGCATCGCAATTTCATTCCATCATTACTTGAAATCCAGATTCATTTGAAATGTTTTGCGTGACATTTGGCACTCATTTTTAACAGACTAATCTAAAATCCGGCTATCATCTGCAGTAGAACACTACTGTATTCCCAGTGATGTTTACTCATAAACAACCATGCTAGAAAATGGACTGTGGAATGGAAAAGCAACAGGCTATTAATATAACATGGAAACACCTTCACAAGGTCATAGATCAGCTTGAAAATCACATGCAGCTCGAGGCTAATATCACAGTGAACGTCAGGGCATGCTTGAAGAAAATGAAAAGTCCCAGACAGTTCAAGTGATGATAAAGCTGGGTAGTAAAATGTTTCTGAAAGAATAGAAATGTGCGTGTGTGTGTGTGTGTGTGTGTGTGTGTGTATGAGAGAGAGAGAGAGAGAGAAAGCTGTAGACGTGCAAATAAGATTTCTTTTCTCATGAACCAGTGGTGCCTGGTGATGGCGCTGGTTTGGATTCCTCAGAACATTGTGGCAAGGTTCTCAACAAACATCTTCTAGTAATGTTAACAGAATGTTTGTTCAACATTATCTGGTCTTCAATAATGTTCTCAGTTTTGTGCACAAAATCATTATTTATACGTAATGGAAGTTTTTTAATGTTATAGTTGGACATTGGATAATTACTATTATAATTTTTTTTATGTAACATTTATGTTATTAAAAAATGTTCTTGAAATGGTTAATGAAATGGTTTCTTTAGTTAGACATTTGTCTAGCTTTTTTTTTTAAATGTTACTACTTGTTTCAGAAATAAATTTAAATCCACAATTAGAAATGGTTGTTGTGTACAGGTAAAACATCTAGTAATGTTAACAGAATGTTTGTTCAACATTATCTGGTCTTCAATAATGTTCTCAGTTTTGTGCACAAAATCATTATTTATACGTAATGGAAGTTTTTTAATGTTATAGTTGGACATTGGATAATTACTATTATAATTTTTTTTATGTAACATTTATGTTATTCAAAAATGTTCTTGAAATGGTTAATGAAATGGTTTCTTTAGTTAGACATTTGTCTAGCATTTTTTTTTAAATGTTACTACTTGTTTCAGAAATAAATTTAAATCCACAATTAGAAATGGTTGTTGTGCCAAACACTCTCCAAAAATCCAGTAGGCAAATAACATAGGGTGCGTAGATCCAAAACATACAAAAATATGAAGATGAAAGACATCCACACTCGTCCAAATTCAGCCAAAAAGGCTTATAACATTTATTGCTCAGAGGTAAAAAAAAAAAATAAATTTACAAAATAAGTGCAAATGTGCAAAGGTGCAGAACGTTTTCGGGTATTAACCCTTCCTCAGTGCCATGTGCTACCAAGCAACACTTGCGCTCATTAAAACATGCATTACCGTAATATACTATTGTCACGAAGATACGGCAAAAACATGTATATATCAAAACATATAATCAAAATTGTTTTTTATAATAATTATAGGATAGAAACCTGAACGAGTATTTTGGTATGACATCTATTATATATGGAAACTGATGTTTAAAACTTGTGTTATTGAGATTATATTACTGATATATATTTGTGTGTATATTTTTGTTTTAGTTATGTAGTTATATATGGATTTCTTTTGATGATTTATAAATGTTTTTGCTGTTTTTGATTATATGTTTTGAGATATATAGGCCTACGTGTTTTTGCGGTATCTTCGTGACATATTACGGTAATACATGTTTTACAGGTAAAACACAGCGCAGGTGTTGCTTGGTAGCACATGGCACTGAGGAAGGGTTAAAGGGGTCATATGATGTTGCTAAAAAGAACATTATTTTGTGTATTTGGTGTAATGAAATGTGTTTATGCGGTTTAAGGTTAAAAAAACACAGTATTTTCCACATACTGTACATTATTGTTTCTCCTCTATGCCCCGCCGGTTGTTGTGCCAAACACTCTCCAAAAATCCAGTAGGCAAATAACATAGGGTGCGTAGATCCAAAATATACAAAAATATGAAGATGAAAGACATCCGCACTCGTCCAAATTCAGCCAAAAAGGCTTATAACATTTATTGCTCAGAGGTAAAAAAAAAAAATAAATTTACAAAATAAGTGCAAATGTGCAAAGGTGCAGAACGTTTTCGGGTATTAACCCTTCCTCAGTGCCATGTGCTACCAAGCAACACTTGCGCTCATTAAAACATGCATTACCGTAATATACTATTGTCACGAAGATACGGCAAAAACATGTATATATCAAAACATATAATCAAAATTGTTTTTTATAATAATTATAGGATAGAAACCTGAACGAGTA